CATATCGTAAGCATTATAAATAGTAACATCTGTAGCCGGCTGTGCTTCCGAATGCCTCTCCGAATCGGATTCGGACTCATTCAGCACTGGTGCCGGCATAGTTGATACTTCTGAGCCATCGGCCTTTTTATCTGATCCGCGATTGGACGAACGAGATTTTTCCCCAGCTGTTGCCCGAACAGTGGACCCCTTTGGCGACTTTTTATTAATTGACGACATTTCTCCTTCGATAGTATAATATATCTGCAAGAGATTTGCTGCCCTATATTTTCAGTGTCGACCCATTCTGATGAGCAACACAACGATCACTGAGCTCCTCTCCGTTTCTATGTGAAATAAATTTCATTTYTTTCAACTTAACTTTGAATCTTTCTGAAAACATAAAAAACAATTAAAGAAATTCGCTAAAAATGTTCTGTGTTTACGTTTACAAATTTATATATTTTTATTATTTTACATTTTCTTGCTAAACTTAACTATTTTTTTTTTAAGTTTTCTGCAAGGTTTCCTAAAACTTTTAAGATAACTATGAAAAGTAAGAAACTAACTGCGAAATTCCTAAACATTTTCAATACTTTTCACGTTTTCGATGGCTTCGACGCTTTTGCTTTGGCTGTTCCAGCTGCGGTTGGCAATTGGTCKTCGTCTCTTGTTTGGACAACTCCTGYTGCTGCTCTTCGTCCTGTTGCCATTCCTGCTCTTGCTGCAGCTGCTCCAATTGGACTCCCTGCTCCTGTTGCAGCTCCAGCAATCGGCGACGACAGCAACAGCTGCGCAGCGAACGCATAAAGAACTCAAAATTCTGATTGAAATTATGCAAATTCTGCGGATCAATAGGAAATCCTCTAGAGCAGCCATCAATGGTCTGTTGAGCGTACAGAATACAATCGCTGGCGTAGCCCAACGTCTCCTTGAGTATGAATACCTGCTGCTTCTTCTTCTGCTGCAGGTGCAAATAGCGTGTGTATAGCGCATTCAAACGTCGATGCTCGTTGCGATAATCCGCGCATATGGAATCGTATTTGCCGCGCAACACCTCCAGATCGCACCTKAGCATCTTAATGGTTTTATCTTTCTTGGCCAGCAGCCGATGGGCTTGACGATGCGACGAWTGCAGCTCATCGTAGCTGCAAWGAGATCGAGTTGAGAGTTGTATATATAGATGARCTTCCATTATAGTGGAAGGCCTTCAACTAGCTACTCCTTACCGCTGTTGCATTAGCATTGGACTTATGGAGCCATAGAGWTCGCCCTTGGAGTCAAACCGTATGCCGCTCAGCAGCTGCGACTCCGGCTCACTTTCGCTGCAGGAGTCGCTGTCGACGCCGCGCAGCAGCTGCACGAGTCGCTCATTGCGCTGCTTTTCGGTGTCCAGCGAGAAGTTGAGCTCGTGTATGCGCTCCGTCTGACGCTCCAAGGCCATGCGCAGCTTGAACTCCTGCTGCTGATCCTCATACAATGTGTGCTCCAACTCGCTCACCTTATCGAGTATTAGCTCAACTGTTTCCCTATACGGCTGTCGTCTCTCATTGAGCTGAGCGACGGTCTGGTTGAGATGTTCCCTTTTCA